ACATCTCCTGGACTGGAAGTTGTATTACACTTGTTTTTGGCTGATGTTTGCCAACCATTCATGCAATTTTATTTATTCATTTTTTAAAATTAATAATCGATACTTGGCGTCAAGAATCGATGCAGTAGATCATGAAAATTAGAATCACGATGCATCATCATGACGATTATTTTGCACACCCCTAGTAGGAACCATACGTGCTTTCACCTAAGAGTCTCCAAAAGCCGCCAGTGAAACAAGAAAAGTTGCTAGACTTTGTCGCTAGTCGCTTTTTTGAAAAAGAGTTGCTGGAGGGGTCTGAAAAGTCACTAAATATGGCAACAAAATCGATGAGTTGGCAACACTGCACGGGCGAACCGAGGCGGCATTTTTACAAAGGAGGACGGGACGCGTGCTTCGGAAAAAAAAACCCAAAAAGCTGGCACTTGGAGTGGGTCTCGCCCGGGGAGTAGAACCGCCACTGATGATCTATGAGCGCGGTGTGCATTCTTCCTGTCGCTTAGTTACGGCCGTCAACAATTTGTCTCACTATGGCGCTGGGTTACGGGCGGTATGAAAGTACTGTGGAATGATCTGATAAACTGACAGATCTTTTTGTTGTTGTTGTGTTCTCTCTCTCTCTTTGTCTGTGACTGTAGTGGGCCCAAACGAGACTGTGGCGGGCCGCCATTCTCGTTCATAAATGGGAAACACTGTACTGCCAGTGTCCTTAATTTTTGTATGTATGGACTTTAACTAGGCCATTCTGATCAGGGATGCATAATATAAAAGCATTGATATTTGTGTCAGACAGAGCTGGTCATTTTCAAGCATATCCAATATGATCCAATAAGTAAAACTGAGGAAATATCAACAACTAATGCTGTTTTTGTTTTAGTAAGGGAAAGGGAGGGGGTTCAGTCATGAGGTAATTGTTGGGTTATGTGACACGGATTCTGATGCAGCTCAGGATTGTTCTTTATAGTGTCCAAAGAGTATCCCTGATTCTAACACATAACTTAATCATTTTAAATTGTCCAATTAGCTGCATGATCAGGGTGCTTATCCACCTGCAAGTCCCGCCTCCTCTTACCAACTCAGCCTACCAACCCCACGGAAGAAAAACTTACACCCACAGCTTTTTGCATCTAGGTCACAAGGATCAGATTTGGTGCCATCTAACAGATGGAACATGATGGTTGTTTGACATGGCTTGGAGTGAACTACAACCAAGTCTTATTGTTTTTGTCTTGCTTGTCTTCAGTGAACAGCTGATTTTCCCCTCTAAGCTGACCTTCTCTGCAGCTCCTCCCGATGAATGTTCTTGTCCAGCCTGTCAGTTTAGGTCAGAGGTCAGAAACCCAAAATGTTCATAGAGCTCTATTGGACCATCAAAAACAAAACAAAAAAAAC